CCTTCCCCCTCCTCTCAGCCTTCCTCCACACAGACATTCACTGAGAGAGCCAAAGATAAATTGTTGCATTACAGTAGACTCTTGGGTATTGCCTTGATCCCTGAACTGCAAATCATTTTATCCTTCACTATGTTACATACTTAATAACATTTTCAAACATTACTTGGCCTTATAAAACAGGTTACCTCCAGTTCAAAAAATGTTATCAATTTCTTGGTTGCTGTCTGAATGGAATGGCTACCCTAAATGCAGTATTGTGCATTATTGTAACATGTTTCCCTTGGGGGCCCATGATTCCTTTCTGTTCTTTTATCTTTTCTTTTTTACAATGCACAAGACTGGCATTCATTTTAAACAACTGAGCCTATCTTGAGGGGTTTTCTTTTCTTATTTTATTGTATTCTTTGCAGCCAGTGTTTGTTTTATCAGCTATTTCTGCTGCATTTGAATTGTTGCACATTTGACTTTGTTCAAGGATGCATTTTATTACATGAATACAAAAGTGTAATTGTATATCTGTATGTCAAATATATTGGTATGTACAAATACTAATGTAATGAATTTATGCTTTGTCAAACCCTTCCTGATTTATACATAATAATAATTGCTAATAGAATAAAAACATATTAAAGATATATCCTGTATATACCAAAATATTTCATGACTTACTACCTTTGTAGTACTTGATTGTCAATCCTGAATAGCCCACAAAATCTATTGTTTTCTTACTGAATGTATTGCTCCTGATGTACTTCACAGTTCCAAACAATACTGTGCAATTATTGAAAGATATTAATTTACTGTGGATACTTTATTTTTCCTACATTAAAAAAGCAAATTTTGATTAAAAAAGAAGGTCCTCAGCATAATAATGTGTGAGGTAAACATCTGTGTTCCTTGTTATAAATGAAATGTTGTTGTTGTTGTTATTAATAAAATTTGGGATGGTAATCCAAGTTCAGCAGGAGGTATGATTAAGCAGTAGTCAGTCTTGCTAAATGAAGAATATTATCTTGGACTCAGTGTTTCATGAATATTGCAAAACTATTTTCTAAATATGACCAGATCCGGATTCAATCTGTAGAAATATGGAAGAAGTCATTTCAGAATGTGACTATCAGGTGTTTGCAAGCTTATAATTCATTCGTTATACTTATATCTTACTTTTTTTCCTTTCAAGGAACTCAAGGCAGTTCATACAATCTTTCTCTCAATTTTATCCTCACAACAACCCTGTGAGGTGGATTAGGCTGACAGTTGGTGATGGGCCCAAAGTCACCCCGTGAACTTTGTGGCTGCATGAGGCTAGAACCCAGATCTCCCAAATCCCAATCAAAGTGCTGTAAGCACCAAACAATGCATGCTGGGGCGGGGAAGGGTTTTATAAAGGTTCATTCAGGAAATTTTCCATTATCATGATTTTTTAATTCACTGGTGTGAAGATTTCTCAGCAGCTGAAGCGCAGGCATGACACTTGTGAGATAATAGAGAGTAGGATATTTCACTTGTCTTCCAGTGTCCACAGTTTGTTTTCATCAGCCATTGTGTTCTGTTACAAGCCCCAGCTAAATCTTTGTCCTTAAAAGCCCATGAAATTTCTCACAATGCTTATCATTCTCCACAAAGCATTGCAGAGAGACCTGTTGTAATCCAGGTACTCTTGACAGATTTAAGCTGTTCTGAGCTAAGAGTGGTTTACTGATACAGCCAGTGACGATGGTTTATAAATGGTTAAACTACTCTGAACCTGTGGTATTTCAGCATGCTGTGTCATGCAGCTGTGGAGAGTTGCATGCTGTTTCAACCTAGGCAACATAACCTGCAAATATACTTTGAACAAAGCAAATAATTATCTCTCTACATTAGCCTACTTTCAAGGGGCAAACTTACATGATGCTATAGGGGGCACTGTTGAGCTCCATCAAAAGGGTTTGTGATGCTAGGGATATGTGAGAAAAGTGGAGCAAAGGCCTGAATTTTTCACAAATCTGTAGTTGTCAACAAATTTAAGGTGGCATATGCAGTGAAAGAAAGAAACTTTATTGCTTATCATGCTGAATGACCCAAGAACAATGAAGACTGAGTTCTAATGAGGCAAAACTTACTTGTGTGAAATCATAGAATGCTCAGTTCTGAGGTGGAAGGACTCAGCCCACTTTTGGCCAGCAGGTCAGAAGTGTGTCAGGCTGTTGAGCTCAAATGGAATGAGTTTTTTAGTGCTGCATACCCCTGATGTTTTAATTATAAAATTAACCCAGGTAGATGGATTACTTTCTTTTTGTCAAAAAAGAACAGAGGCATGGTTGAAAGAGCCCAAGCTTTTATTGAGCAGTGGTAGAGTTCTAACAGCTTTAGAACTCTAAAGATACATGGCTTCGTCCATAGTGACCTTGTACTATGGAAAGCTGTGTGACAGCAAGCAGAATAACAGGTGCAGCTTTTCGCAGTATTGCATTCCCATGCTAGTTATTGCAGTATCTTGTGCATTTTTTGTCTCACCCTTAAAGGAGGCAGAGGAGTCCAGAGAGGGAAGATGTGGTAACTACACTTAGGAACATCAGTTTTTCTGGCATTATGTTTTCTCTTCCCCGCAAGTCTCATTCATAGTTTACATGGCACTGAAGAGATCCATTTTTTTGCCTCTGTGAGGGTTAAGTGGCTGTCTAGTTCCCTAGAGCCATAGAGATAGACATGTATAAAAGGTAAGCAACTATGGCAGGCAGGTCATGTAACTGGGTGTTCATTTGCAAGGGCAGTGTTATAGAAGGGATGCTGCCATCTGGACACTCTGGTGTTACATGTTTCTCCCTTTGCACTTCCCCACTGATAGTCTTCGGATGTCAGGGTTTAGAGCAGCTTTTTGTAGCCTGCCACAGTTATTTTGGACTGTAACTCCCATCATCTTCAGCCAACATGGCCAATGGTCACACATTCCACAAGTTCAAATCCAAGGCATCTGGAGGACACCAAGTTGGAGAAGGCAAGTTTAGAAATTTTGCTATTAGGAGAAATAAATGTGATAACTCACAGAATGCTAGCTCATCTAATGGATGCAGCACCATTGGAACTTGCTTTCTGGTTAATATTTTTTCTGCATTTGAAAGTAGTAATGAATCAAGAGTAGCTAGTAGTGCAAATGAATGGAGCAGAGAGCCTCCAGCAATTCTGACTGTGTTCCCAATAATAATGGCCTGTACAAGATGGAAGTTTACCTAGATTGATACAACCAGTAACCATGGGAGTTTCACCATTCAATGTACCTTGAGGTACTTGGAGGAAAAGGATAAAAAATTGTCCAGGATCAAGCTCAGGCTTCTAATCCCTAGCAGGGTACTTTCACTTTCCTTACCTGCTTTGCCCTTGAGTTGAGGTTCTTGTTTTGAATTCAGAGTCTTGCATCAGATAACCTTAAAAGGAACTGAGAACAGATGCATGCTCTTCTGTCTGTCATTCATTTCATTTATTCCATTTCCATACTGTGCAATAAGCAAACCTTTCTGGACCTACAACAAGGCCATAATATAATAAAACAATTATGAAATGGTTCCATGAAACAAAAATTACAAACAGTTTAAGAATTTTAAAAACCATTTAGCAACAAAAATATTTAATGCAGACTAGATCTGTTCAAAACACCTGACCCACATGCCACTATCAGAGAACCCTAGATGTCCTTGAACACCTCAACACAGAAGGCTGTCCTAACTTGGAATCACAGAGATGCTACTGTATCAGAGCCTTGGCCATTTCTTGACATGTCCCCGTTCACCAATTTTTTCTTTACCAGAATTTTTGTTTGTGTACCCAGACATGGAAAAAGAGCGATAAAGACCCAGGCCACATAACATAGGATATGAAGTCTGTGTTCTGTTTTTAAGACTTACTTTTGGTGCTGTGCCACAATTGGTTCCTGAATTATCAGGAATCCCAAGCTTTGATCTGGCAGAGGGAGAAATGGGGCAACATTTGTTTTCAACTCTCCATCCAGTTGTAGTGTTTTTTTCATCTTATACCGTCTGTTCTGTTGGTGCAACATTATGCATTGTTGTGGGTAGGATCAGTTTCTGAGCTCTACCCATAAGAGTCTGATTAGCTTCTCTGAGCTCTACCCATTTTGCTCTTTCCACCAGTGGCATTGTGGTTGTGTGCCTCTGATAGAATGTCAATGCTACCTATATTGGCTTAAATCTACTACATGGTACAATTTTGTGTTTCGCTAGCACAGCAGAATTTAATACAGTTTTGGTTCTATTTAGCAATGTGTTCCAGTATTATAACTTGATTTTATATAAAAAAAATGCAACTCTTGATGTCTAAGGTATATTTTAAATGGATCCAGCGTATTTACTGCAGTGGTGTGTAAACAAACAACCAGAGGAAACCCTGCATTAATGTACTTTCACCTTCAATATGACAAGGGATTAGGGTATTGCTTTTTCTATCTGATTTAAAAGTGGATGAAAATACTGTACTGCAACAGCATCATATTTTAAAACTCTTACCTTATGTCACTGGCTTAATAGGATAAATAATGGCACAGGATATTCATCTAATAAACCTGCAAAATTAAATACTGAGAACATAAATAATATGCACAAGTGGAGATGTATGAAATGTCATAGTAATCTGGATGGGTATATGAAGAGTTCCATGAGTGATTCAGTGGGAGAGAATTGAGCAATGGTCCACTTTGCCATCATATTGCAGTAAGAAAAAATAACTGAACCAAAATCTGCACATGTTGGTACTCAGACTTCCATGACTTCCTGAAAAATGTGATAGATCTGGGAGTGCCTTATGCATATTTTCTGCATGTATGTGAGGCAAGGGGGGATCCACAACCATTTGAAATTTTAATCAGTTGTAAACCCAGGATTGTGTTTTCATGATACATGTTCCAAATTGAAAGTTATTGTCCCACCTTCTAATATCCTACATATTTTGCCTGGAAATTTCTTCTAATTTCTCCTTTATAAATTTTACTTTATCTTTCTTTTCAGGATTTATCAGGCTCTATTGATGACCTGCCTACTGGAACAGAAGCAACTCTGAGTTCAGCAGTTAGTGCATCAGGTTCTACCAGCAGTCAAGGGGAGCAGAGCAACCCAGCACAGTCACCTTTCTCCCCTCATGCTTCCCCACATCTCTCCAGCATCCCTGGGGGGCCTTCCCCTTCCCCTGTTGGCTCTCCTGTTGGAAGCAACCAGTCAAGATCTGGACCCATTTCTCCTGCAAGTATTCCAGGTAAATTATGGACTTTTTTAAAAAAAGAAAGAATTCTTTCTAGCTCACCTCTAGTATTCTATTTTCTATTTTAATTGTTTCTTTCAGCAAGTGTGCCTGCTTTGTACTTAAACAAGTTTTACATTCAGTTGTTTGTTCTAAATAATTCTGATGATGTGGGTTGGATTATTTGCTAATTTGCTTTAATTTCTTGATCACAGATCTGTGCTTTAAGGTTGGCACCTCCTGTCACACAGAAAAAAACAAGGCTTCAATCTTATGTGCACTTTTCTGGGAGTAATCTCCATTGTATTAGTGGAATAGTAGGATTAGTGGGGAGTACTTCTAAGTTAACATATGTAAGATGGTGCTCTAACCTGTGTTAATGTTCTTGTAATACATTCCATCCATATCTTCAGTGAATTGACTTTTTTCTATTCACTGTACCTTGTTTGTTCTGACCTCAATCCACTTGTATTACCTCCTGCTATGTCTTGCTATGAGCTTCTCCATGTGACATAGATTTGCTCCCTTAATAATTTTCTCTCTAGCAAATCATTGTAAAACAAGCAGCTGTTGTGTTGCTGCTAGCTATGACAGGGCAATGCCAAAGTGTAGCAGGGGGTTCCTTTCTGAGAAGGCTGTTAAAATGAAGGTGTTGTGTTCTCAGGGTATGCTGGCATAAAAGCATCCTTTACTTCTTCCCTTCCTCAGCTGAGATGAAATTGGCAGCTAAAACAGTGTCCAAGAAACAAACATGCACACCTAACCTACTAACCCAGCTTCCAAATGGCTGCTTCTGTTAACTCTAAAAATTTATCTTATCCTCTGCAAGTGTTTTCTCTCATATTGTTCATGATCACACATTGGTTAACCCCTGAGTTCTGAATAGTCCTTAAATCAGCAGGCATTTTTTTCCTTTGTACAGTAAAAAGCCAGAAGATAACTCACATACTATCTCCATAATTCTCCTTCACCATCAAGTAGTGCCATCTCTACTTTGGGAACAAAATATGTGGCAATTTATTATAAAGGAAAACATTAAGTACTCCAAGAACATCAGGAATGAATACTTTTATCACACCTAAATCAAACTTCTTACACAAAGCTGCTGTGCATAAAATGTGTTCTAGAAAATAAGTAATCTGCATTTAAGGTTTTTATTTTTAAACATTTTTGCACAGAAACATATGGGGGGGGGACAGTGACGATCAGACATATATTTCCTCACATTGTGCAGTTTTTTCCTCAATTTACAATATATATTTTATTATAAATTGTGCTATTTTTAGTATGTTAATACTAATACAAAGAGACATTTGTAATTTAGAAAAATTGAAATCTCTTTAATAATATGGAAGTCAAAGAGTCATTGTTCACATAGAATAATATCAAAATGCATTGTTAGAAAATTTAGTGTATACTGACTTGGCTTAGCTTCAGGACCAAAAGTCTCGGGATCCTAACAAAATAAAAATATTAAAAACCACATGATTTTTAAGGACCTCAGTCCCTAAAGAGGTAGTGTTATGTCTTTACCTGATGCCCCAGTACCCACAGAAAAACAGTTTTCCAAATATATACAATGGTGTGAACAAATAATTAACCACTTCCCCACCTCAGTTTCAGCAAGGCTCAGAAGCACAACTTAAAGCAACAGAGCAGACTCTGGTACGGATGTACCAAACCAGGGGAATCCAGCCTGTTTCAATTTGCTAGTTTTCCTGCCCAGTTCTTTTCCAACAACTGGAAGCAGGCCAAGTGGAGGACTTTTTTGTTTGGTTGTGAGGACTTCCAAGATTGATCATGATTTGAATATTTTACCTTATTGCAAATAGAATTTGCCAAAGCAGTGTTTGGAAAGCATGTAGTTTAATGTGTATTGCACAATTTTTGCAAATCTCGCTAAACCACTTCTTTTCAAGTGTCTTTTTGTGTGAATAGTTCCATTAAAGCCATGTGCTTTCCAGGTGCCATTTTGCATAAGCTCTATTGGCAGTAAGAAATAATACACAAATTGTGGTCCATCTAATAGACAGATGTGTGTTAACTGGCTTGACTAGCGCTGCAGCAAGTCGGCACTAGTACATGGGCAGCAAACCAGAATCAAGGAGGTCGAAAATGGATTTCCACCCTGCAGATGGATTCTTCACACATCCCTAATCTGTAGTGAGAATGGAATATGTAATATCTTGGAGAAATGTAAACTACTACTGCCAATTCTGAGCGCAAATTACAAATATATATACCTTTTAACCAACTAATGTTATATGTGCTTTTTGTCTTTAAACAAATGACCATCTCATTTCAGAAGGTGTCTTTGTGCATATTCTATTTCTACTGTTATTTTTATCAGGTAGAACAAAGAAATCTCGCATTTGCAAAATTTACATGATTTTCCTTTTAAGATCCACTTTCTTTTAAAGTATTTCTCTGTGTGCTCATCTCAGCAGTCAAAAACACTTGCAGTATCATGCATGCTGTTTATTGGCACATGTGACAGCACTGTTGTTGACATAGTTATGCTTTGTCATTGTGGATAAGGCACAAAATAATTACGCAAAATAATTACAAATTTTAAAACAACATAGGTTTTCTACATTTCAGTATGTTTACATAGCTATGCAAAGGAAATATTTCACTGTTGCACATAACACTAGTTTTTAATTCTTGACTTCCTGGAACTATGAATAGCAGGGAAACTTTGTCATGATACAATGCAGTCTAACTGCATTCTATGCTTACTGTGGAGAACCACTTTTTATAGAAAGGTAGTAACATTCTAGGTAGGGGAACTGATCAGAAGGGTGCTATTGATGAATCCAGAGAGTAACAAGAATATAAATATTGGGGTTTGAAAGACAGATGACGAGCAAGGGGCTGGAAGTAGTAGTCATGAGTTCAGGAAAGTACAAAGCACTGAAACCCAGTTGTAACCTCTGAAACTCTTCCTGTGCCAGATATTTCAACAGATGCAGAATATGAATTACTATGATTTACTCAGAAACCATAAAGGTTACAACTACTGTTTTGAAAGAATATAAAAGTAAGATTTGAAGCTTATTGTAATCTATTCTGTTTGGCAGTGGCTCTTCAGTGTCTCAGATTTTTTATTTCAGCTGTCCTATCTGGGATCCTTTACCCCAGCATCCAGAACATGCATACCGCAACTAACAATGTTACTCCTAAAACAAGGAAACTCACAACTTATTCCTACATTTTGTGTAAAGAAAACAGACAGTCTGCCCAATGCTCTGTTTGGCAGTTGTTTTGTTTGTTTTTCTGGCAGGACTCTTGTGCCTTTAGAAATTGAAAAAGAAGCAGGTAGTGAGCAGATGAGGTACAGAAATTTATACCTTTTGTTTTTTACCTGCAGTGTAGCAGTTAAAGATGTAGGTCCCTCTTAGAAAATAACATTGGCAACCCCCAGTGGACATGTTGCTTATATATGGCATATATGACTTGAATTTCGCTGAATTTATTTTTGGAGCTCTTAGCTGAAGAGTCAGGAAATTCTAATATCTGACTGGTCAGTATTGCAAACCAGATAGACATCTTAGATGTGTACCCTATAGGATGTATACATCTGTGAGACTGTGAATAAGAAAGTTTCTCTAGACATAAGAATTTACCTTACATTCTGTTGGATTTGGAAGCAAATTTAGTTTCCAAAACTGTCAAGTCTGTGTTCTGCCAGTGTAAGAGCACTAATGCCAGCATTCTTCCACAGATCAAATATAGCAGCTATACACCAGGTAGCCCCATGAAAAAAGGCTGTATCATGAAGTCTTGCCCATGTGGATCTTTTTGGAAGAACATTAATTATAAGTAATACTGGTTGATTTCAGTGGTTGCAATGCTGCACTTGGATATCATTGATTTCATTGGGAGTTCTCTAAACTAACCGCATGCAGAATAGTTGCAAATAGGAATAATTTTCAAATAAAATGTTGAGGATCCCATAATCAGAGTAGCTTTGGTTTACTCTTTTTAAAAAGTGTTTAGTTTCTTAATTTACTAAGAACACACGTGCTATCCTGAAATTGTTGGTCAAAAATATGTCTGACCCACGAAAATTCCATAATTCAAATGGCTATTAAAATCATATTTAAAATAGTTAAGAAACTGATGTCCCTAAAACTTTGTGTATATCCTTGCATTAGAGGAGTCAGTGAAATGTGATTTAATTATTCTGACCCATATTAGACATAAAACAGCCCCATCCACTCAGTCCGCACATGTCTACTCAGATGTAAGTCCCGTTGAGTTCAATACTTATTCAGGTAAATAGTGAATGAATATAACAAAAGTGTTGTTATCTCTGCAATCTCTATTACTTTATTTGCATTGCCAGTTAGAGTTTTTTTTAATTCTTAAATTTTTAAAATATAGTCCTTTGTTATTGTAATACCTTATCTCCCATTACTCATCTACAACTGTCACATTCATGAAAAATATTGTATTTTTTATTATTGCATATCTGTTTTATGGTCTTATAGATGGAACAATTTAAACTCTCCCCTTTCTATTTCATGGCTTTCATAATAAAATATTGATGTGATTGCATCAAAAATGGAAAGGTGTCTTTTTCCTCCATCATATACGGCAATATTAAGAAATGATCGATGTATTTACAGGGCAATTCAGTTAGTCTGCTCCTACTTCATCAACTAACAGTTCTTGTTGTTGTTAGCTGTGGGGCTTTGTCCCCTGGTAGGAACTCCTTATATTATTTCTGACTAATATTTATTTTCTGAACAGCAGTGGACTGGCACTGCTTTTATACAGATCAAGGCGGAGGAGCTCCCTAGGGTCCAATAATCCCCCATTTACCTTCAACACAAACACAGGAAGCACAAGTAGTTTTCACGGTGCGGACAAGAACAACTGGATAAGGAGGCATACACAAACCTTCCATTCCCTGGTTAGGCCAGAACAGTGCTTGTTCATTTAGATTGACAGGGGATGGGAAACGCAGGGCTCTGTTGAGCTCTGTGGTACTACCAAACATAGGCCCTGGA